TCAGAAGTGGTAGATAACCTTCTCTTTCCTGTGCTTTTAGAATACCTCATCTGTCGCAGGGTTAAAGAATAAAAAAGCCTTTTCAGTCATAAATTCAATATATATCTATAAGAAATAATACGAGTACCTCCTAAGCTGTCAAGATCCTCAAGAATCCTGGCCAAATCTGTGAAAAAGCAAACTGTGAATTGAAGTGAAAATCATGATTCTCCATTTAAAAATAAATAACATGCTTCAGGGTGATAATATGTTCTAAATTGATTTTATTGATGGGGTTGCACAACTCTCTGAATATGCTAAAAGCCATGAACTGTATACTTTAATAGGTTAGTTGTGTATGGTGATGAATTATATCTTAAAGTTGTTATAAAAAGGAATAAACAAAAACAAATAAATAAATAAAAAATAGCACTGTGTTACCTACTGTGTTTTGAACAGTCAAATAATTCTCTCGTAATTCAGGCTCACTGCCCAAAGCAACGAGAACTTCGAGTATAACTGTCCTTCATTCTCCGTGGTGACAGTGCTTTCTGTGACGAGCCAAAACTATGAAGTATTTTCTCTTCCATTGCTTTCACATGGTCTCTGAGAAGAAAGGAGACAAGATTCATAAAACAAGAGCGCCTGCGTATCCCACAATTCCAGTGCACACAGGCCGGTCAGATACCATCAAAGGAGGAAAGAAAAGGTCTGGACCTACTTTACCTTCTATTCCTTGCCTCCCTTCCTACCCACACTTGGTAAAATTGAACATTTCTAGTAACACTTTTTATGCTTAAAACATACTAAAAGTGATATAGATATACCAACATGAACCATATACGCACCTCATTAAAAATAGTTACTCAGGGCTGTGTGCCGTGGCTCACACTTGTAATCCTAGCATCTGGGAGGCCGAGGAGGTGGATCGCTCAAGGTCAGGAGTTCAAAACCAGCCTGACCAAGAGTGAGACCCCGTCTCACTAAAAACAGGAAAGAATTAATGGCCAAACTAAAAATATTTTAAAGATTACGGGGCACTGTGGTGCATGCCTGCAATCCCAGCTACTCTGGAAGTGAGGCAGACAGATCACCTGAGCCCAGGAGTTTGAGTTGCTATGAGCTAGGCTGACGCCACGGCACTCTAGCCGGGCAACAGAGTGAGACTCTGTCTCAAAAAAAAAAAAAAAGTTTACTCAAATAGAATATTTGAATCAAATTAAAATCCAGAGATGGACACAATAGTAATATATATATATGGGCTAAAGAACAGCATGGCTGCTCTACTCCTATTTCCATTTCTCACCTGACAGTTCTGGATTCTCTATGCCCCAGCTCTATCTCTGCCTTCAATTTCAGGAAAGAAGAGGAAAAATGGACTATATCCCAAAGGAAGTATGGAAGCAGAACAAAAGGTAAAGAGGAAGAGAACATGAGAAGAAGACAGGGAAGAAAAAGAAGAGAAGACTAAGTGGAGGGAAAAGAGAGAACTAAGGACAGGAACTAAATGTTGACAATACATCAACTAACACATCTTTCTAAGCTTAATTATGAAGTATTATTGCAGAAGAGCTTAGCCTCCAAAAATTTAGAGATAGAGGAAGGACAAGCTAAATGGCACCAGGAAATCCAGAATATGGAACATTCTCAAGACAAATGGTTTGGCCTCTTTAAAATCAAGCTCTCTGTGGGAAGGATAATTGTCAATTATTCTAGATCAGGGGAGACTAAAGGTAATAACCACCAGATACAATATGCATCCTATATTGATCGTGTGATTTTTAAAAAAACGCTATAAAAACATTTGGAAACAGTTGAAGAAATGTGGAATATGATGAATATAATCAGGGATTACTGCCAATTTACTACATAAGAGAATGTCTTATTTATTGGAGATGCACAAAGGCTGACTTTGTTTTATAAAAGAATATATTTACTAGAAATGCATACTCTTAGAAGGTGATTTCCAGGAGAGAGAGGAAGGAAGAGGAAGAGAAGGAAAAGGAAAGATAAGAAAGGAAAGAAAAAAGGAAAAAAAGGAAAGAAGGAAAGAAGGGAAAGAAAAGGAAAAAGAAAGGAAGGAAAAAGAAGAAGAAAAAGAAAGGAAAGAGAAAGGAAAGAAAAAAGGAAAAAAGGAAAGAAAGGAAAGAGAAGGAAAAAAGAAAGGAAAGGAAAGGAAAGGAAAGGAAAGGAAAGGAAAGGAAAGGAAGGGAAGGAAGGGAGGGAGGGAAGGGAGGGAAGGGAGGGAAGGGAGGGAAGGAAGGAAAGGAAGGAAAGGAAGGAAAGGAAGGAAAGGAAGGAAGGAAGGAAGGAAGAAATGCTATAGTGTCATGTCTATAATTCACTTAGAAAAAGTTTGGCCAATATATGTATATTGGCAAATTTGGCAAAATGTTAATAAGTATCAAATCCAGGCTGTGGGTATATAGGTATTCATTCTTCTACTTTTTAGTAAATTGAAAATTTTGGTATAGTTTTAAAATAAGCCACTAGATAATTTTGTGTAGACCAACAATACATTATTGTATGTCTAGTGATCACTACTGCTTTTTGTTTTTATCTCATTTTGGGCTCACAATTCTGTGCACCAAGAGGGACATGATCCTATTTTACAACGGAAATACTGAGAGAAAGAGAAAGATAATATGGGAGACTTGGCTAATTTTGAACTGACAAGAAGCAATAAAGGAGTCAAGTTGCATTAAATAGAAAAATCAGGGCCAGGCACGGTGGCTCACACCTGTAATCCCAGCACTCTGGGAGGCCGAGGCAGGTGGATCATTTGAGCTCAGGAGTTTGAGACCAGCCTAAGCAAGAGTGAGACCCCATCTCTACTAAAAATAGAAAGAAATTACTTGGACAGCTAAAAATATATATATAAAAAATTAGCCGGGCATGGTGGTGCATGCCTGTAGACCCAGCTACTCAGGAGGCTGAGGCAGTAGGATCGCTTGAGCTCAGGAGTTTGAGGTTGTTGTGAGCTAGGCTGACGCCACAGCACTCTAGCCTGGGTGACAGAGTGAGACTCTGTCTCAGAAAAAAAGAAAAAGAAAAATCAGAAGACTTGGGTTCAAGGTCCAAACCCTTATACTTAATCTGAGTTTCAGTTTCGTCATATGTAAAAAAGGAATAGGAACATATACCATAAGCACAAGTTTTTTTTTATGAGAATCAGTGAGATAATATATCTGAATGCACTTTGAAAAATGCAAAATAAGTGTAAATCACATTATTTCATGACAATGCATCAACTGATGAATGTTGAAATGTTGATCTTTTCCCCCAAGTAAAAAAAACTTCTCAACCTATCTCAAACAGAGGGTTCACCATCCCTACAATGGGATCATCAACTGTCTAAATACAGCCTCACATAATACCTTAGGGATGAAAGAATGAACACAAGAGCGCATACCTCCAGTTTGTAGAGGCTCCTACTATCTCCCGCAATTTATCGCGAACTGAAACAAAAATAAAGAGGTCACTCCACAAAACAAAGAATTAAGAGAAATGTATGAGAATTATGGCATTAAGCTCAAGCACTATGAAAAGCAATTCATGTACTCAAAAGACTTAAAGATTCATGTATTTTCTTTTAATGCTACAACAAATAGCTCAGTGAAGGGATCAGGCCTCTGCTCCCTGAAAATCTGAAATAACTATTTTGTCTCCTTTAAGTGAAAAAAAGAACACCTTTGTGCCAATCACTGGGGTTTGCATAAACAAACAGAAAACGATAGCTTAAATTTGTCATCAAATGGGTTTGTATCAGTGTCAGCAGATAACTCCCTTTATGATGAACATATTATGAACAGGATCCCCAACTACCTTCTTATAGGCAGTATTAGATCAACTTACTTAAGTTCAGGGACTAAAAATAATATCCAAATCTGAGTCTCATTATAATTGACTTCTCATCTATTTATATTCTGCTAACTGTTAGAAAAGTTTAAGCCAGAAAAATGAAGCAAAGATTTAAATCAAGGTAAGGCAAAGAATGCAATTTAATTTTAGTTAATGCCTACAGCCCAAAAGTATAAGAGTATGTTAGTGCTAACAAAATTTAAGCACTTAAAAGCTGATAATACTAATTACCACACATACCATGATTCACATGTATAGGTGGACATGCTATATGGATAAAGGGAAAATCAATTAGAGAACCAACAGTAATTCAAAACTAAAAAATAAGTCTACAGTATTTCAAATAATGTGTCACGTTCATATTTTTTCTAGCACATATTCCAGTTATGGAAAATTAAATATAGCCATCCTTGGTCTTTGAATAACTAACTGATCAAAACCAAATATGGTTATATTAACACACACTTTAACTTTCATGAAAAAAATGGTTGATTTTTCTATCAAACAATTATGTATACACCATTAATTTGTTGTATACTCTAATTATAATTAAATCATAGAGAACTACAAAAATAACCATTAGTAATTTAATCTTACTTCTGACTTTTAACTCCTGAGTTCCTTGAATAAAAGAATGGACAGAAAGTACCCCAAACAGTACATGGACTACTGATGCTCAGTGATATAAAATGATTTTACTAGTTTAGTCAGTGTAAGAAGAGAGGCAGGTGCTGAGGACTAAGAAGGAAAGAATTTTAAATTTTATTTACATATACATGCACACCCACATATTTATTTGGACCCTTTAAAGAAGTTACAGTTTTAATTATAGTGAATACTCCTAAATTGATAAAAGACAATCTATAGTTTGCATATCATATTAGTAACTGAAATTAACTTTAATTAAGCTTGGATTAACAAGGTCCCTCTAACAAAACTATGGACTAGGAATGTTTACTTGGTACAATTAACAAGCCCATCTCTTACTCATGTATTAGATCTCTCTTTTCCATTTCTTCAGAATCTACACATAGGCATTAGAAATCACTTAACTAAAAGAACTCAGTCCCCAAGGCTCCCAGGAACAATCGTTCAAAATCTGAATGTGATTGCTACCCAAAGCTATTATGCGGCTATCCTGGTTATTTTACAAATGAGATGTTTACGAAAGATTTATCTTTAATATGCCTCATTTGCCCAAAACTATTGTTCTTTACACCTCCCAAATAAAACAGAGTTTTTCACTACATAGGAATAAACAGTAAACATGATGCTTGCCTTCACGCATGTTTAAGATTCTCTGTTTCCTGGGGTCCTGGGATCCTTGAGTAAGTCCTCTGCGAGGAGTAAGCACCCCCTTGCTCAAGGCACAAAGCCTATAAAACAAGATAAAACACACTCAGAGTAGGTTCCATGGCTTCTTCTCTAACAACCTCAAAGACCTATGCTCCCTCCAAGAGTGTTTGGCCATACCACACCCCCAATATATATATTATCTTGCAGAAGTCTATAACTGTTGCACAAGTGTATGTATATTTGCATATGAGGCTACTCCATAAATCATCTCTCCAACTAGAGTAAACAATTCTTGAGAGCGGAAATCAATTACATAATTATCTACAAAATAAATAAAAGACGTCAACCAGGTTTAATGGATTTATTCTTGCTCTACCTATTTTATTATTAAATAGCTTCATAAGCCCAGGATCTATTTGGTAAACAACTGAGCAAATTAATTATGAACATTTAGTTTGTTCTTTATTATCGCAAAATATATCCTCAGTAAATAAGATAAACCCAATTATAATCAACTTTGAATTATTAGCCCTGAATTAGCCCTTTCCAGACTCAAATAAAGTTATTTATTGGACTTGTGCAGAAATTTCCCAGATCCCCAACAGAATAAAATAAAGGCAATTTACCCAAATGTGCCTAACCTATGCTCCCAAAATAAATTAATTTGATTCTGGTTCACTAAGTGTTGACTCCTAACCACACAATGTCATGTTAGGGGTAACACACATATAGTTTTAACAAGCTGGTCTGTGAGACCACAGTTGAAGGTGGCAAAGCATTGAATAGGTCAAGAACCCCAGATACTGTCATTCATTCTACCTCAAGTTAACAGTAAGTAAATCCTAACCAAATTGTAATTAGTAAATTGCCTAACCCGAAAAATAAGTATATTATTTTTCTTTAGAGACAAAGCTACTATAGGTTTTTTTTTTTTTTTTTTGAGACAGAGTCTCACTTTGTTGCCCAGGCTAGAGTGAGTGCCGTGGCGGGCGTCAGCCTAGCTCACAGCAACCTCAAACTCATGGGCTCAAGCAATCCTGCTGCCTTAGCCTCCCGAGTAGCTAGGACTACAGGCATGTACCACCATGCCCAGCTAATTTTTTGTATATATATTTTTACTTGGTCAATTAATTTCTTTCTATTTTTAGTAGAGACAGGGTCTCGCTCAGGCTGGTTTCGAACTCCTGACCTCAAACAATCCGCCCACCTCGGCTTCGCATAGTGCTAGGATTACAGACATGAGCCACCACGCTCAGCCTAGGTTTCTCTTCTGAATGACAGCATTCAGGGAATCTCTCAGTATAAATATTTTGTAAAATCTACCGTGTTTCCCCGAAAATAAGACCTACACATAAAATAAGTCCTAGCAGGATTTTAAGCATTTGCGCAATATAAGCCCTACCCCGAAAATAAGGCCTAGTGATGGGCGTGGCTATGCAGTGTATCTGCACAACCCATGCCTTTCGTCATGGAGCAGTAAGGAAGATGAGCAGCCCTTCTCATCTGCCCCATCGTGACAGCTACTATCCCAGAGGGGACTGGAAAGGTGCGGGCAGCCCCACCAACAAGGTCGGCTCCCCCTGTTAGGTCCTGGCCATCCTGTGTGTGCTGCAAGCTGAGGCTTTGAGGGGAAAGTCTCCTCAGTGAAGTGAGGAGCAGGACACTCTGCTTTAGGAATGTGTGTCCTCAGGGGGAAGAAGGAAAGCTGTGGCTGCCATTTTACTCAGCACGGTGGGCCTCTCTCACCCCCCACAAACACCAGGGGATAGGAGAAAAGCTTCAGCAAGCAGTCTCCTACCAAACCCAGAGAGATCATTTCTGCTCCACTGTGCAGATTGGACCCAGAGCTCACTGGATCTCGAATAAACAAACCAGCCCTGCTCATTTAATGAGAGCTCTATTGCTCAACATGAGAGATTGGGACCAGTGGTTCTAAAGAAAATAGAGTCGCAAGAAATTCAGGACGGAATTTGGGGTTTGGAGAGTTATGATGATGTTCCAGAAGACGACGACTTAACTATATTTGAATAAATGTAGACTGTCGAACAGTACTTAAACAAAATAACACATCCCCTGAAAATAAGCCCTAGGGTTTCTTATTGAGGAAAAATAAATATAAGACCCTATCTTATTTTCAGGAAAACATGGTACATGTAGTTTTGACACTTATGTACTACTAAAACAAATCCTTGTCCTTTCACCAAATGCTAATCTAATAGAAAAGAATACAAAAATATGAGCACATTCTTGCTGGCTAATTTAACTCCTTAGTCATCCAGTCATCTCATCAGCCGCAATACAATTCCTGCTGGTCCATCAAGCCCAAAATGTTTTCTGGAGGGGGTTTTAGATCTGCATTTATTCTTCAATCATATAGCTAACAAGCCTCGATCATATATTTTGGATTTATATTTTCACAATAAACTTTCCATTTCTGTACTTTACATAGATTAATACTTTAGTCTTGTTCTTGACCATCCAATTTGCATTTTCTCAGAACATGATTTGAATTTTCCATTTTTTTTCACTATTTCATTTTATGTATTTTCTGTAGGTTCAAATCCCTTACTGAAGGAAATAGTATGTATTCCTTCATTCTGCCATCTCAGAAACTAGCAATCTGCAACTGAATATATCAAGTTTTAAAGAACACACTGGAAAAAACTAATCCTTTCCATTGCTACCATTATCTGAAAGAGCAAAAAAAAAATCATGCCCTCAATACATTAATCAGCAATTATAACAGATGCATTAAACATACCCAATATAAGAAATTGGATCTGATTCTAAACAGCTAAATACTTTGAATACTCATCACAAACCAACAAAAGCTATATTATCAATGTCACATATTTGAGTAAATACACATATACACAGGAATTTTTGTTTTGTTACCCTAAGAAGTAGCATTTTCTGAAAAGTATCCCATCTTGCTTGTGAGAGCCAGTATAGCATTGAAGTTGAGAGCAAAACCATGCTGCTTATTAACTGAGTGACCTTGGGTGAATTACCTAACCTCTCTGAGCCTCAGTTTTCTCAACTGTAAATGGGGACAATAATAGTACCTATCCCATAGGATTATCAAAAGGATAAAGAAGTTAACACATATTAAACCCTTAATGACATGCCTAGTTCACTGACAAGTCCTCAAGAAACTTTAGCTATTATTATTCCAGAAAGTCATGCTTCTCCAAAGTCTTCCCTAAAGATCAAAAAGAACCAGAAATTTAGAAAGCATAAGCCTGGCACTATGATGGAACATCTCTGAATGTAGAATCAAATGGAGATGTAAAGAAGGTGGCTGATGAACAGAGAAACACTTGGGATTTATTTGGAAAATTATGGTCCTAAAGTTCTGTTCTTTGCATGCTACCTTCATAAATTTGGACATATATCCTTATGGCATAAAAAAAGGCACAATTTGAACACTTTCTTAAAAAATTGTTGCTTATACCAATAGGATATGGGTGACTTTTCATTACAATTTGGTATCTTATCTACTGATAATCTAATGAAAACTGTAGACTTTGGGGCGGGGCATGGAAATACATCTTCACTCACACACAAAATGGTATATACTATTTCAGGAGGTTCACAGACCACCCTCTTTTCACACCTCTATGGGCCCCTATATTAAAAAATTGATTCAAACCAAACTCCTGCAGCAACTGAGGCCCTAATTTTAGATGACTTTTCCCCAATGCCAGTCAACTAACACATTGGCAGAGTCCAGACAGAATCCATCTCCTCTGATCACCCCTCCAACATGCGTGCATGCACACACACACACACACACACACACACGCACATGCACACACCAGTTGCTTTTTTCACAATCTCAGGATATTTCCCTTACATCTATGCAGCACTGAGGGGGAGGAGATAGGAGAATGGTTTAATCAATACTCAACATTTCAGTACCTCAGGGTTAATGGCTTAACCCCTGATAAGCCCCCAAGAGTTATACAGCAAAACTGCTGGGACTTCAGAAGAAACTGTAAAGCAGCTGAGAGGCCAGGCACAGTGGCTCATGCCTGTAATCCTAGCACTCTGGGAGGCTGAGGCGCGCATATCCTTTGAGCTCAGGAGTTTGAGACCAGTCTGAGCAAGAGCAAGACCCCATCTCTACTAAAAAAAAATAGAAAGAAATTAGCTGGACAACTAAAAATATATAGAAAAAAAGTTAGCTGGGCATGGTGGCGGCATGCCTGAAGTCCCAACTACTTGGGAGGCTGAGGCAGGAGGATCGCCTGAGCCCAGGAGTTTGAGGTTACTGTGAGCTAAGCTGACGCCAGGGCACTCTAGCCTGGGCAACAGAGTGAGACTCTGTTTCAAAAAGAAAAAAAGAGGCCTTTGAGACACTTGGGTCCCAGGACCTCATGATTGAACCTTTCCAATGAAAGAAGATCAAGAAGCCCAACCTCTCCATGGCTTGCCTAGGGAGTCACAGAAGTCACCTGCAAGTGTAAACAGAAATGACTTGGCTCAGTCCTGGGTCCCAAGCTTTGAGTGGGTGGCAAGGAAGAGTTTTCAGTGCAGTAACAGGCAATGCCACTCACATGCCCTCCACTCTGAGGAAATACCTCAATTTAGAGATGAAACAAAGTCAGGGTCTACAAAAGAAGCTATAAAAGTTGCCCACCACTCAAAAAACCTAATAATTTGTGTGTATTCGTTTATGAATTCTTTCCCTCACTAGGCACTGACTGAATACCTATCTGCTCAAGGTTCTCAAGGTTAAATAGGACTTGTAAGAAAGGAATGCAGGGTTATAGGAGACGGCACATGCACAAGACTGCAGAACTTTGTAGAAGGCCTTTCACATCATGTCCAGTGCAAGCTAAAGTCGACTGTGGCCCTTCCTGTAACAACTTTCAATCTGTCTTCAAATAGGGTAGCAAAACTTTTTTTTAAAGTGCTGTAAACCTCTCCAGGTCTGTTATGAGCCAAAAAAAAGTAAAAATAAATAAATAAATAAAGCAAAAAAAAATAAAGTGCTGTAAACCAGAGAGGCAAAACTCTTTCAACTAATAGCAAGGTTCCCAGAACAGTGAGAGAGATCCAAGACCTCTGAGAGAATTGACACGATGTCAGTCAGAAATACTATGTGCCACATAAGAGGACAGGCCCACTGGCAGCAGCTGTGAGTCGAATCCAGCCCTGGAATCCAGCCAGACAGAAAACTTGGAAGGGCTGGTGTGCTAGGGTGAAAGGAGTTTGGGGAGAGCCAGACACGCCCTGGAGTCTAAAGCCCTCAGGCCTTAACTTTCTCAGCTGGGAAGATTGCATATACAAAAAGGCATTCTCATTGCTAAAGTGGCCCAATCAAAGCACCCCCGCCCCTTACAGGGGTCTTTCTGCTCATTAAAGTTCAAATCAGCACCAAGACCTCAGTCACAAAGTCCCAAGGACCTAAGAGCCAAAAGGTGCCCTGCAATCTCTGCCATCGTTACAACATTTTTTTTTTTGAGACAGAGTCTCGCTTTGTTGCCCAGGCTAGAGTGAGTGCCGTGGCGTCAGCCTAGCTCACAGCAACCTCAAACTCCTGTGCTGAAGCAATCCTGCTGCCTCAGCCTCCCGAGTAGCTGGGACTACAGGCATGCACCACCATGCCCAGCTAATTTTTTCTATATGTATTAGTTGCCCAATTAATTTCTTTCTATTTATAGTAGAGACGGAGTCTCACTCTTGCTCAGGCTGGTTTCGAACTCCTGACTTCGAGCAATCCGCCCGCCTCGGCCTCCCAGAGTGCTAGGATTACTGGCGTGAGCCACCGCGCCCAGCCTACAACATTCTTTTTTTTTTTTTTTTTTTCGTTACAACATTAAGTCAGAGCCCAAGTGGTTCAAGCACTTAATCCTAAAAAACGTTCTCCAAAGGGGGCAAAGGGCTGGAGGTAACGTGGAACTACAAAATACTACCTTTCGGCCGGGCGCGGTGGCTCACGCCTGTAATGCTAGCACTCTGGGAGGCCGAGGCGGGCGGATTGCTTGAGGTCAGGAGTTCGAAACCACCCTGAGCAAGAGCGAGACCCCGTCTCTACTATAAATAGAAATAAAATTAATTAGCCAACTAATATATATAGAAAAAAATTAGCCGGGCATGGTGGCACATGCCTGTAGTCCCAGCTACTCGGGAGGCTGAGGCAGGAGGATCGCTTGAGCCCAGGAGTTTGAGGTTGCTGTGAGCTAGGCTGACGCCACGGCACTCACTCTAGCCTGGGCAACAAAGTGAGACTCTGTCTCAAAAAAATAAATAAATAAATAAAAATACCACCTTTCTGTCCGGAGGATACTGCAGAACTGTTACCAACCACAGCCCTGATGAGCAAAGAGAAAGGAATTTCAGGGAACACCCAACTTCCTCCCTTAAAAGTACTGCTTTGCTTTTAATATCAAGCTCCGCGCCAGAAGTCACTAAAGTGGGGACAAGGTTCTCCCAACCCGAGACGCCCGTGACCAGACGCGGTCATGGCGGGCGAGCGCCCTCTCACCAAACCCAAATGCCGGTGCATTAGTTCCGCCCGCCCAAGCCCGCTTCTTCCGCTGCGGCCCCCCTAGGAGTTCGGAGTGAGGGCGTGGGGGCCCCCAGACATCGCCCTGCCAGGCCCCTTCATGCCAAGCTACCTACCGCAGTACTGCCCGCCTCATCGCGCTAGGCTGCCGGGCAAGTGGCTCGAGAACCCCACAAGCCGGTCGGCGGAGGGAAACTAAGGCGGTTGCGTGAGCAGCAAACCAAACCTCACTCCCTCAGAACCGCGCCCTCACAGCCAAGAAGCCGGGGTGCGCGAGCCGCTGTCCGGGGGCGGGGCCACGCCGTCCGGGGGCGGGGCCAAGCTGCTCCGGCAATCCCTGCCAGTTCATTGGCTGAAAGCCCGAGTCCATCTGCCGAGCTTCCCACGCAACCGGCCGCGCGGGGCGTGTTGCTAAAGGGAGGACTGGCCTATTCCGGTTGAGTAGATGAACCACGCGGCACCGCCAGGGCGTGACGCGAAGCAAAGGCGCGGCCTAGCCCTATGGAACTTGTCTCGGTTATCCTTGAGCCGCGCCTAGGCTCCCAGTCTGTGGTTTTTGCCCTTGGCTCTAAGAAATCTCCTGGGCAGCTTTCCAAAATACTGATGCTTGGGACTCACCCTCTGGAGATTCTATTTAGTCATCGGTGTGTCCTGGGCTTCCAGAGGTCTAAAGGTGTCCCCAAGGCGGGCGCAGTGGCTCACGCTTGTAATCCTAGCACTCTGGGAGGCTGAGGCGGGCGGATTGCTCCAGGTCAGGAGTTCGAAACCACCCTGAGCAAGAGCGAGACCCCCGTCTCTACTATAAATAGAAGTTAATTGGCCAACTAACATATATAGAAAAGATTAGCCGGGCATGGTGGCACATGCCTGTAGTCCCAGCTACTCGGGAGGCTGAGGCAGGAGGATCGCCTGAGCCCAGGAGTTTGAGGTTGCTGTGAGCTAGTCTGACGCCAGGGCACTCACTCTAGCCTGGGCAACAAAGCGAGACTCGGTCTCAAAAAAATAAAAATAAAAATAAATAAAGGTGTCCCCAGGATAAAAATTTACCAATCGGGTACAATGTACACTATTCTGGTGACAGCCACACTAAAAGCCCTGACTTCAGCATTATACAATTCATCCACGTAACAAGAACACTTGTACCTTCTAATATTTTGAAATAAAAATTATATATAAAAAAGAAAATATAGGAAAGAGAATAAAAGGTGTCTCTCAATCCAGAAAATAAAAAATAAGGGTGCCCCAGGTCATGCTAATATAACCAAAACTTGAGGACTACTGACCTAACAGGAAAAAAATTGTTCCTCTTCTAATCTCTGCCTGCTCCCTAGTGTTTGACATCTTGGCCGACCTAGAGAGACTCTAGGCTGGAGAGTTTAAGATGATTTCACCCCAAGACCTGATTTCGATTTCATTCAACGAATTCTTAATGAGATGTTTGCATTGCACCAGGCGCTGTTGTAGACGCTGGGAATCCAAAAATAAACAAACAGAAAAAAACAGTGGACAAAAACTTCTGCCCTTAGGGGGGCTTGCCTTATAGGGAAGGAAAACAAATCAGCAAACAAGTTAGCAAATAACATAATTTCAAACGTGGTAAAGCAGTCTAAAAAGGAAATAAAACAAGGTAATGAGAGGGGTCTTTTGTGAATATATGCAAGTCTTGCTTTGCTTCTAAAGATGGTAATTTCCTAGGAGGCAAGGACCATATCATATGCTTCTTTGGAATAACTCATGCTTAGTAAAAATGTGTTGATTTGAATTAAGCTAGCTTTTTTTTTTTTTTTTTGAGACAGAGTCTCGCTTTGTTGCCCAGGCTAGAGTGAGTGCCGTGGCGTCAGCCTAGCTCACAGCAACCTCAAACTCCTGGGCTCAAGCGATCCTCCTGCCTCAGCCTCCCAAGTAGCTGGGATTACAGGCATTTGCCACCATGCCCGGCTAATTTTTTTTGTATATATATTAGTTGGCCAATTAATTTCTTTCTATTTATAGTAGAGACGGGGTCTCGCTCTTGCTCAGGCTGGTTTCGAACTCCTGACCTCGAGCAATCCGCCCACCTCGGCCTCCCAGAGAGCTAGGATTACAGGCGTGAGCCACCTCGCCCGGCCAGCTTTTTGTTTTTAATCATTTCACAAGTTACAGATGGAGCATGGTCTTTTCTATTTCTATCTAACTTTCCCTTTTTTTTTATCAGTCCCACATCCAAAAGACTCCTCTTTTAGCCTACAGGGATCTCTCCTTCGTTTTTGTTCATATTGTCTGTACCTTTTTGTGATTGTTTTGTTGTGTTTTGTGTCAGCCATACATATTTGTACTCTACCACACCTAACACACAGTGCAATAAATATTGTATTGAATTATACTATTTTTGTTCATTTTTACTTGAATTTTTGGTTGAAGCAATAGGAGCCTTGCTGAGAAAAATTAAGTTCGAGAGAATTTTTCAGGTTACATACATGGTATAATAAGTAGAGACAGTTTATAATTTGTGCAATCAAGTAACCTTCCATCAGTTTCCAAAATATAGCCAGACACATTTTCATCAATATAAACAGCATTGATTTCAGCTGGAACCAGGGACTCGATGTCACGGAGATGCCTTCTATCACTTTGATTTCCTTTGCATACTGGTTTCATTCTTTTTTATCTCTGTTTAATGGCATTCTCCACGTAGCAAAAGAAGCTCTGGAACTTTACATCTTACAACCACAGCCACATACATAGAGACTGACCCAAATTTCTATATCCCAAGTACAAAAAAGTCCTGAGAAGAGATGCATTGGCCCAACTGGGGTCAGATACACACTGTTGGACTAGTCAACTGTGGCAAGCAAGGCAAGGTCATACAGTTACTCCACGTGACTTACCAGGAACCCCCTCATCCATGGTCAGGTGCTGGGTCACAATCTACTAACATGGCTATTTCCACAAGCAACCACACAGATGAGGATCGCTTTCTTAGAAAAGGCATACTGATAGGACACAATGGGTATCAGTAAAAAAATAAAAAAAAAAATAAAAAAAAAAAAAAAAGAAAAGGCATACTGAGCAACCAACCCCATAGAGGTCCACTACAGATGTTATTCAACCACTTCGGTACCAGTGTCGACTATAGTCGACAGCCACAGATGAACGTGCACAGCCCAGCGTCAACTATAGTCGACAGCCACAGGTGAACGTGCACAGCAACTTTAGCCAACAGCCGTGATATGACTTTTCTAATTTTTCATTTATCAAAATAAAATTGTGGGCCGGGCGCTGTGGCTCACGCCTGTAATCCTAGCTCTTGGGAGGCCGAGGCGGGCGGATTGCTCAAGGTCAGGAGTTCAAAACCAGCCTGAGCAAGAGCCCGTCTCTACTATAAATAGAAAGAAATTAATTGGCCAACTGATATATATATAAAAAAAAAATTAGCCGGGCATGGTGGCACATGCCTGTAGTCCCAGCTACTCGGGAGGCTGAGGCAGGAGGATCGCTTGAGCCCAGGAGTTTGAGGTTGCTGTGAGCTAGGCTGACGCCATGGCACTCACTCTAGCCTGGACAACAAAGTGAGACTCTGTCTCAAAAAAAAAAAAATAAAATAAAAAAAAAAATAAAATTGTGAACATTTAAAAACAACATAATGAAAACATATATGTTACCTATTCTGATTTACATTCCAAGTAAAGCTGCCTGTAAACTAAAACAAGCTTTCAGTGCTTTAAAGCTTTCCTCATCACATAAGAGCAAAATGGATTGGTTGTCAATGCACAGCACAAACTATCGTGCGGACTATGAGTGCCGGCTGTGGGCAAGGTTTCCTGGTGGGTGAGCGCCTTACCGAAGTGGCTTAAAAGGGAAAAAATGATCTCATCACTTAGCCTTAGTTCTAACCTCAGAATATCCCTGCTAGACCCAGCCAACACATCATTCACCCATGTGTCTCCAATTTTCTCAATTGGAAGAAGGCAGAAAATTCTTAAAACTGCTTAGCAACCCTGATTTCTATGTGTGTGTTGTTATTGTTGTTGTCAAGTATATATGCTATACCACATTTTGTATAGCAGGGATGGCAGGCAAAGTGGTCACTAAAAAATCAGGTCAGGAAACATGCAACAATTATATAGTGGTGAGAGTCACTGTCCTTAAGTAACAGATTCTCCACCCCACCTTTTTGTTTCCTGTTATGTTCCATTAGTACTATTTTGATATGGTCTCAGGGTAACAGAGATGGTATCAAATTTGTGATTACAAGGCTCCTAGTCATGCACTGACAGATACATAAGATATTATCAATGTCATTATTACAAATAGAACAATAAAATCAAATAAGAAAGCCTAACGACACATTGTCAGTTTAATCTAGTATTACAAGTGAAAAATATCTAGTAATCATCTTTTCTTGGGCTGCTGAACCATATGTACTTTTGGATATCTGATTTAGGTAGAAAATGTTCTTGGAAAACTGTCAGCAACTTTCAAAAAAAACTGATTCAAGCTACGATTTCATTAGAATAGAAAAACCACTTTTTAAAAATTAGCTTACTTCAGGCTGGGTATGGTGGCTCATATCTTGGCACTTTGGGAGGCCGAGGCAGGAGGGTCACTTGAGGTCAGGAGTTCAAGACTAGCCTCAGCAAGAGCGAGACCCCCATCTCTACTAAAAATAGAAAAATTAGCCAGGCGCAGTGTGCACCTGTAGTCCCAGCAACCTAGGAGGCTGAGGCAGGAGGATCGCTTGAGCCCAGGAGTTTAAGGTTGTAGTGAGCTATGATGATGCCACTGCACTCTAGCTGGGGTGACAGAGTGAAACTCTGTCTCAAAAAATAACAACAACAACAAAAAAAAACAGCTTATTTCCCAGATTATAGAGATTATACAAAAGGATCCAGAATAAAATTGGGAAGGGGAGGAAGAAACAATGGAAAATTATTTTCCACCCAAACATTAAAGAAAAAACCAAAAAGACTAGTGGGCTGTTACATGAAAATGCTTAGTATAATATTATACTCATTCCATCAGAAGCAAAACCAGCATAGGCAATTTTAAAACAGTATTTTTTTTTTAATTTCTTTCTCTACCTTTCCCCAGCTCCACTTTTATGACTGCTCATCAAATCCAAGTGTTGAAAGGTTGTCTCTAGAAATTCTCTCTTTTTCCTCTAATAATTTCCCTCTTGCTTAAAAATGACAAACATTTAAAATATGTAATACCATTAGTGACATGGGATCAGAGAGCCTCTTTGGGTAGGTAGGACCTTCATTTCAGAGTGTCAACTTCAATAAAGCTGTCTC